ATAATATTTTTATGTATACAAAATCAAGCTGATAAGCTTTTTCTTTAGAAATACTTAAAAAAATTCTGTGGGATTTTTCTTAAAAGTGGCAGAAAAATTTCGCAAATTCAAATAGAGATAAAAGGCGAGACCCTAAGCAAATTTCTAAAATTTGCGCTTCTTGAGCAAACTCTAACAAGTAAAGTTCGAAATTAGCAACACGCACGGTAAAAATTTAATATTAGTATGTTCGAAGCCCGATTCAACACGCTTTTGGCGAGTGAATTCAAATAATGTGGAAAGAAAATGTTGGGAATTATAATAAAAATTGTGTGAAACAACAATAAAACACGCTTTTACAAATACAATACGAATGTATATACATATACATGTACGTGTGTGTGTGATTAGCTTGAATGATCTTTGTTTTTGTCTCTAGTTCCTAGAGAACGCTCAGACTGCGCTTTGTTTTTGATACAGTTGCGGCTAATTACGGCCGGAAGCGAATTGAAGCTGGCAACTATTTGCACAAAAACAACAAGTTGCAGAGAAAATAGTGTTCAATAAACATTTGCACAATGGAAATGGCATAATTGAGTTGTGTAATAGCAATTAGGCATGTGGTTTAGAAAATATGTTCCATAATATTGACTAACTGGCGCGCGAAATAATGAAAACTCATTAACGTGGCTTAGTAAAAGTCCAGTTTAATGTAAATAGTAGTATTGGTAAGTGAGATTTTTGTGAAATTGCTGCAGTCGCAAATCGATTTCTTTGTGGATATTTTTTTGTCTTTAAGAACCACAATTACATAACACAAAAGTTCATGGTTTTGAAACCTTTTTCCTAAATTTACAAACTGTTGAGAATTTGTTAAAAATTTCTTATACTTTTATTATTTTTACCTCAAAAGTAGGCTTTTATGGCGACACTTTTAAAATTTCCTCTAATAAAAATTTCAATTATTCAAATTTATATTTTTCTGATCTTTTCAAGAATCATGATGATTTGAAATTTTATTTCACAAATGATAATACAATATTTAAACAGCTTAATTATGCTTTGAACAGGTCATATTAAGTTGCCACAAAGTTCGTAATAAGCGGTAAGAAACATGGGGAACAAAATAAATAAAATTTATAAATATCAATTTAGCCATATCTGACTGACTGCCTGTATATACACGAAATAGTCCCTCAGTTTCAGTTATAGCGATATGAAATTTTGCACACATTCTTGTCGGAAACGCTGATATCGGACTGTACGATCAGAATCAAGTGCTAGTATGGACAACTTTTTTCATTTGACGAGATATCTTCCTCAAATTCGGCATGGTTTATTTTGTAAAGTAATCATGTAACATACAAAGAAATTGTTCAGATCGGTTTACTGTAGGATATAGCTGTCATATAAACTATTTGTGTAGGATATATAATAAATATAAGTAGGATTCGTTTTTTCTTGTTTTTCATATTTGTTTTTTTTTATTTTAATTATTTTTTATTTTAACTTTTTTTGCAAAATTTGAATCCTACTTTAACTTAATAATAAAGTATTATTATTACTTGTACTTCAATTTTTTTCATAAATGAAAATAGAAATAAAAATTAAAATCCTTATTTTTTATTTTACTTAATTTGAATATTTTTTTTTTTAACTTTTTTATTTGACGAGCTATCTTAGATGTGTATAAGAGACAGGTTTAGAGAAATATCTAGAAGTAAGAGTTTTTCAAATTTTTATATTTTATTATTGATTGGTCCGCATTTTCATAAATTAAATAATACTAATAAATAAAACTAATAAAATTATAATTTTTTTATAAAAAAAATATATATTAAGTAAGACACTTACTATTTTCTATTACCTTGCAAACTTGAACAAAAAAAAATTAAATGAAAAAGAGAGCAACTTTTGTTTTATAAATATTCTATTTTTAAACATTAAAAGTATCCAATGATTAAGAAAACATACTTACGTCGCCAGTTTTCGACAACTTTTTAACCTCAAACTCGTTAATTTTTTATAGAAAAATTTAGTCTAGTTCAAAGGCGTACAGGTTCAAACCGCTTATTTGGGTTGGGGTTGAATGAGCATACTTTCGTATCAGATGTGATTGCTCTTGGAAAATTTTGTATGCCACGAGAAAACCGAGACCTAATCCAGTACTTAACTATACTATATTAACATATATAAATACCTGCATATATGTTCGTATTTCTTCGGCACTTTTTTCAAGAAGCTAAATCAGCGATGCATTCATAAATTCCAGTATAATCTCTCGTCATAATTGGAACCACAATTAATATTTATTTTCTTCAGTTAATGTTTTAAAATGTTTACATATTCTTTAAGGATACTAACACTAAACCAACTAACTGCTAGGTGCTTAACGAAACTTTGATTAAAAATACTCGCAAAACATATTAAGCATATTAGATCTGATTAATATTGATATTTAATTTATGTTGACAAAATTCTAAATTTGTTGTAATCAACTCAAAAGAGTTGTTGGAGTGCCTGCGAACCATAAAATGGTGCGCAAATTCTTAGTAGAATAGCTTTTTGTGGTGTTGGTGTTGGGAAAGAGAAGACTTTCAAAAAATTAATAAGAAGCTGGAGTATTTTTTCCATTTTTTAAGGATTTTTAACCTCAAAGCACACATTTATTAATTCGACTTATAATCGTTGAAAATATCCCAGAGTAAACGAATCAGACAACAAAATGTTAATTATGGTGACTATTCATAGAAATAGTACSCAGAAAAGGAGCTCACTAAACAAATAAGAAAATAAAATATCACTAAGTAAGTAAATACGAGTATATGCATAATCAAATCATTTGCACATCTAAAAGCTCAGTTTGCTTCAAAACATTGGAATTCGGG